ATATATATTCTTGCACAGTGAGTAGGGCCTCTGAGTTCACTCCCTGTCTGTTTGTAACCCAAAGGTTTATTCTCTTCCAGGTACTCCAAACTCTGACTGTGTCCTGTACACATTCTTAAAGCTCCTTCTACTTTTTGGCATCCCTTAATGCTTTCACACACATGGGCGTCTGCCTCCCTGGGTCAATTCTGACTTCTCAGAGGCCAGGCACTGCATCTGGTTCATCTGGTTGTGTCACTGTGGGATCCCAACCGCCTATCACGTCATGGTATCTGCCTCACAGCCGACTTTTTTTTGCGGGGGTCGGGTAGCGGGGAGATGTGGTCTTGCTCTGTCGCCCAGGCTGGAGTGCAGTGGCGCCATCTGGGCTCACTGCAGCCTCAATCTCAAGATCTCAAGTGATCCTCTTGCCTCAGCCTCCGAATAGCTGGGACCACAGCCACGTGCCACTCAGTATTTGTTGAATGATATAATGACTGAAGGGGATGGGCTTGGCCTTTGGGTAGAACACACTTTTGTTTATACTTTTACAGAAGGGATTTTCAGGAAAGGGTAGAGGAGAGGAGGAGGGCTGGTGAGGAGGGCCAGCCAAACCTCCCACATTTCCCTGCTCCAGGTTTCTCCGCATTACCTCCTTACCCTCAAGGCTGGACTTACCGGCTAGGTGAAGCCCGTAGGCTTGGCGTTCAGTTCCTAGATTCTGGGTAGCATGTCTCTATTTTCTCATGTTTCCAATGGGGATCAGGCTAATATTCACCTGGGAACTGTGAGGAGCCCCTGGGAAGAGAGGGCAAGGGGGTTAAAGTGTTTGAGGGGCTGCAGTGATGATCATGGTCTCAATAACCTCCCCTCACCCATCTGACCACCACCCTCCTTGCCCTGCACAGTCAAAGCCTTCACACTATTTTGAGTAAACTTTGGTGAGTCCGTTTTTTCACTCCACAGGGTCTCAAAGTGTGGTCCCTGGGTGCTTGTTGGAAGTGCAAATTCTCAGGCTCCACCCTGGCCTTTCGAATCAGATCCTCTGGGGGCGGGGCCCGGCAATACCAGGTGATGCTGGGGGTGATGCTGATGCCCATCCAAGGTTGAGACCTACTGCTCTACTCTGATGTCAGCTCTCCGAGGGACACCGTGGCCTGCTTTGTTCCCTTCCCTGTCCCCAGTGTCTGGCATCGTGTAGGCGTGTCATAAATATCCGTGGAGTGCATAATAACAGTGATGATAATAGCAGCTGGTCATTGATTGAAGACCTCTTGTGTGACGGTCTCTGCGTTAAACATTTCTGGAGGCTTAACTCATTTAAGGAGCTACCCCAGCCACCAGCCATCATTTTCACAGATGGTGAAACTGAGGTCCAGAGAGGCCAAGCGCCGTACCCAAAGGTCACTCAGCGGGACAGCTGGCAGGAAACCTCGCGTCTGCCCGCGTCGCCCCCGCCCTTCCCCAGAGCCCGGCGGCCGCGTGTGTCCGCGGCCCTGCGAGGGCGCCCCGGCTCCGGACTTCCCAGGACGGCCGGGGGAGGAGCGCGCGGCGGCGACCGTGGCGAAAGTGCGGTTGTGGATGCGCCGAGAGGCCGGCGGCGGCGGCGGCGGAGGAGGAAGCTGAGCAGGGCGGCGGCGGCGGAACCTGCGGGACTGGGGCGCGCGCCATGGGTCGCCTGCACTGCACTGAGGACCCAGTGCCCGAGGCCGTGGGCGGCGACATGCAGCAGCTGAACCAGTTGAGCGCGCAGGTGGGCTCAGCGGCCGGGCGTGGGGCGCGCGGCCCAGGTGATTCCGGGAGCAGGGCCTGGGGGCAGGGAAAGTCCGGGGGTGCGCCGGAGCTGGGAGAGAGTAGACAGCGGCGTCTGGTGGGCGTTTGGGTTGTGTGAGGTGGGTTCGAGGCGAGGCTAAGGGGAGCTGAGGTCTGGGAGAGTGTGGGGAGCCGAGGGATCTCCGGGGACCTTAGGCCCAGCGGAGGGTTCCGAAAGTCCTTGTGGGGTCTCAGATATGGGACTACGGAACTTCTGCGGGGTCCTGGGGCCGAGGAGAGCTTTTGGGGTCCTAGAAGAGGGACGGAGGGAAGTCTAGATGAGGCTGAAGGAGTTTGGGGAAGTGAAGAAACAGACTAAGGGCGTGAGGAGTAGTTTTGGGGAGCAGTGGGGTCCAAAGGGAGATAGATGTTTGGCAGGGAGTCCAAGGAAGCCAAGGGAGAGTGGGAGCGCCCGAGAATCCGAGGGGGCCCGGGGAAGCTCGGCCTGGGCTGCCGTCTTACATCTCAGTGTGACATGAGTGTCAGTAATAGCCAGGCCCCACTGGGGCTCTGTGGGCCTGAGGGGCTGGGGCTGGGACTGGGGCAAGGCTGATGGCACCTTAACCACCCAGTTAAGGAGAGTCCCTGGGATTCACATGGAAAGAAACCCTATACACTGTGTACAGTGGGGGTCCCCATCCTTGATAGTAGGGGAGCTAGCAAAGCCCTTTTCTCCCCATTCAGGCTGCAGGTCCCAACCAAGGCAGCCTCGGACGTCCTGCTTCTGTGCTGGTTGGCATGCCCTTTCATACCACCAAGGCTGCTGAAATACATAGGTGAAAATGACACTTCTCACCCCCACTGGGAAGATACATCTATTTCCCCACTAGGTTGTCACTTCCCAGGAGGTAGGGCCCCTCTCTTTCATCTCCATACCCCCCACAACTTCCCACACAGTCATGCTGTTTGCGAGATAAAAACCAAATTTACAACTTATAATGACAGGAAGGTTCTAAGCTTGAGCTATGCAATAGAAAAAAATTGCAAGCCACATTTCTAACTTTGCATTTTGTAGTAGCCACATTTAAAAATTAAATAGAAATGGAAATTAATTTTTGTTTGTTTGTTTGAGACAGAGTCTCATTCTGTTGCCCAGGCTGGAGTGCAGTGGCACGATCTCGGCTCACTGCAACCTCTGCCTCCCAGGTTCAACAGTTAACCTGTTCCCTCCAGCCTCTGGCGTAACTGGGACTAACAGACA